AGGGGTTTGAGATGCCCCTTTTCAGCAAGGATTTGAAGAGCCTTGGACAAAGGCATGTAGAGGGCATGGAAGATCCTGCGACCTCGGGGTAAATACTTCGAGTTTTGTGCATTTTTACTGGATGCACTAGCAAAAGGATCGGCAGGTGCAGGTTTGGCTTGCTGATCTTTCCCGAGTGTAGAATTAGGGTTAAAAGGAGCGATTCTAGTACGACGGTCTTTCTCTCGATTTTTCCCTTGGCTCGAACTGCCCTCGTTCTGAGTGGGGAAAGTATCATCCACAATCTTTGTGGCGACTGCGAGCACTTGCTGTCTGTTCAATCCTCCGCCTTTCAGAGTCTCAACAGCCTGCAGAAGTTGTTCATAATGATCAGTGTCTGCCTCCACCTTGTTCTTACCACTAGCCTCAGCTTGGTTGAAGGTTTGGGTTGCTACATCAGAACGGAGCCTGGTTGTTGTCGACCTGTCATTGCCGGAACTTGGGATGGCTTCAGGTTGGCTGAGTTCAATTACAATTCACCCCAATAGCGGGGGCTCTTCTGGCATGAAGTTTCCGGCATACCATGTGGTCGGCGGCGGGACCGACATTCCGTAGGCTAGGTCAGCCATAGATCTCTGAAGATCGCCGATCATTCCCATCAGCTCAAAAGTGGTAGGCTCACGGGTTTGAAATAATTGAGGTTCCCAGATTGGATGTGCAGCAGGTGACCTAGGTGGGTATGGCATGTCAACATCGGTCTCACCCTGTATAGTGATTCCCTGGTTTAGTGTCGTTGCCATGACCATAATTTTTTCTGAATTTTGTGTCATCACGGTTTGCTGATTTTGAACAAAGGTGATGTGGCTGGTGACTGTCAGATCAGATGAACCAATGAGCCTTGACTGGCCTTTCTCTGCCTTGCCTCAGCAAAGGAAAATACTGGCTGCTCTGAATTGAATCTCCTGAACCCCCCTTGAAAGAGAAAACAGGCAGCGTCTCTGCCCAATTTCACCAGAATAGATATAAGTATAACTGAATAACTGTATTCGATCACTGATCACTGTTCTCCAAATTATTGCCCAAAAACTGAATCTGATACCCGCAGATATAACTAATTCTCAAATATCGATGCCCGCAGGCCTGATACCCAGACTTGCAAACTGATATATGCATTCCTGTAGAGGCACACTCTAAAAGCAAGCAAATGAGAGCCAAAAACACCCCTATGAAGGGGTAGGGTAGGGTTTCCCTGTCCTATTTTGTCAGGAGCAAGGGTTTCACTACGTACGCAGCGGTTTCAAACAACCTATAATCGGGTAAGCAACATGTCCTAGTTTGGAATAGTCACTATGGATTCCGAATATACACTAGGTCGAATGGTCAAAAAGGGTGCCCCAGTAAAAACCAAGGTTTGTGTTCCCATCGTGGTAGAGCCCATAACCGGTCAGCCTTATGGCACGTTTCTCAAAGCGTGCCTCCAACAAACTATTCCGGAATAACAGATGGCAAACACGGTGTCCTAGGCGCACCAATGCAAATGCAATGGAAAGAAACACATAACTGTAGTCAAAACAAGATATCACGAGTTCGAGTCAAGTTCTCTAACTCCCCAGCAGAGTCGCCAGAAACTGTAGACGTCCCAGAACGTCCCGGGAGAATCTCGTTTTGTTCATTGGGCTTACTACAGTTCGGACTCGATGTCACGGTTCTGAATCTAATCTCGCAAAGTGCAATGCAAGATCGATAAATCACTAAAGAGTCCAAATCCGGCAAATCATTTTGAAAAACTAATTTTAGAAAGAAGTGCCAAACATGGACTTCTTTGCCAGATACAGAGTCGCCACCAAAATATTTTATTTTGGAAAAATTTAGGAAACCCTGACTCGTGCCTAGGGCCACGTGTCTGTCATCACCAAAGTTGCCTCGGCTCAGGAACTTGGGTACGATTGGGGAAGGTCATGCAATGAGCACCCCCGCTCGCCCGATCAAAGATCAGCTACCACTAAACATTATATCTTGTTTTTGAAAACATATGTGCTCTTATTCCGGTTTATTAGCCTAGAATCGCTACGTGATGCGCACAGCATACAAGTATAGACTGGATCGTCTACGTTGGAACAAAACATCTCATGTTTGTTTTTGAAAGTGAATTGCTACTCGCAAGTAGGCTAAAATGCGGATTTTGCCACCCTCAAGTGGGCTTTTAGAAAACATGGTGATTTGCCACTCTCAAGTGGGCTTAAAACTTGCAATCGATGAATTGTTCCAATTTAAATAATCCAACCTTTACCCACAGCCATTCAGGCAGGTATATCACATAAGCGGTTAGCCTCATGGCAAGCATGCTATCATGGCAATCACTCACACACATGCAAGGATGCTAAAGCATAAACACTCACCGAGTACTCCAAGCCAAAGCATAAACTAGTTAGTAATCAATGCATGATCCTAGTTCATGTTAAGATGGCTAATGCAACACATGCAAAATGTAACTAAGATAGGCTCGGCTATTCTAACATGGCATATGAGATGCTACAGATAACATGTATTCAACTTGGAATTGAAATACAATGCAGTTAGTGTGATGCGTCGAGCCCGGTGCATGCAAAACAGATAAATGGATTCAAACATACGAGCATAAGGATGCTAATTGAAACATGCCCTAAAACTAACCATCATAAGCTAGTAAACAAAAGAGAGAAAGACGTGGGGTTGGAAGACATGCATCACACACACACACACTTATTACAACATTGCCCTCTCTCGGAGGATCCGAATAAATAATATAGAATCGAATTAACTAATTATTACACAACACTAGCTAATTAAGAAAATAACTAAACTAGCATGTAAACTATGTAAAAGGGGCTGCATCAGCTCTGCTTTGAATGATAAAGGATGCATGCATGCTCGAGTCGCCTTGTCGGGAAATCCATCGCGATGCCCCGGCTCGCCTTTGTTTGTAATTGATTTTAGAAAGTTGCACGAGGCTCCAGAGAGATGAAACTCCACCCAAGGAAGCTGTGGGAAGGCTGCCGACCAGCTTATGGGCATGGGAGACCACCTGCCGACCACCCTTGGTGGTGAAGACCAGAAAAGGTGGTCAGCCTGCCAGAAAACCTGGTCGGCCGACCAGTTCATTCTCCTGGTTTCTGCTTTTTCTGCAACAAAGGCAAGGGAGAGAGAAGGCAAGGTATTTTCAACATATGTGTGCCCGACCATTCTCCCCATCATTGCATAAGCTCTACGGAGTGTAGTCCTCGATCCTCGGGCCGCCAATCACGCATCCCAATGCATGATGGCCGAGGAGTCGAATTGCACGACTCAATGGGACATGAATGCACATATAAGCAACTAAAACCAACAACTCCATCATGGATGGTCAAGAGTGTCGGCGATCGGGAATCGAGGCATGTTTCATCACTTGGAGTATGAAACGTTCCTCGTTTCCCGTGTTTGGACTAACTCCTACTCCAAACACAATGCAACAAGTTGAATGGCATGGCATGTACAAATGCAACTCTAGCATGCAATCCTAAATGTAATGCGACTAAGGGATGTAAACATGCAAAGGATGGCATGCAAGCATGCAACTAGCATACACAATGCTATGGACTACTCAAGGGCGTACTCAATACACGTGGATTATATGGCATGCATACACAATGCACTAACATACGCAATGTTATGAACGAGGCATACGCAATGTAATGATCGAACATGCGATAACATGGATTATATGGCATACACAATGCAAGATGAACTTAAACCAAGGTGGATGGACCTTAGCCGCACCCAAATCAGTGGCCAATATGACGAAAATGAGGCAACAAGGTACATGCAAACATGCACAAATGCAAGGGACCAAACCTAAGGAACAAAGTGCAACTCTACCAAAGCATGACAAGGATGAAATATGGCATACAATGACACATGTTCCAGCTCTGAAATGACATACAAGATGGTCCCGAATCATGCAAACAACTCACCCGATGCATGTTGGATGACACAATTACCGAAACTAGTGAAGTGCATTACACTAGAGGTATACCATGGACTGCTTTGCCAGATACAGAGTCGCCACCTAAATATTTTATTTTGGGGAAATTTAAGAAACCCTGACTCGTGCCTAAGGCTACATGTCCGTCATCACCAAAGTTGCCTCAACTCGGGAACTTGGATACGATTGGGGAAGGTCA